TGATTTTATTTTATTATATTTGTGATTTTTTCAGACAAATACATTGCGAATAAAATTGCGTACCTTCCACGATGAAAACTTGCTTCTGTGAAGTCCAAAAGAATTATACCACCGATGTTTTGGAAACTCAACACTCTAATAATTAACCAATATACTCTTAACTAAACTAACACCTGCAGGGGAAGGTGGGTGTAGTCCAATGAATGAACATCCACCCCCAAGTCTCTCCTTTGTGGGAGGTTTGGGTTCAATTCCCACCGAGGGGAGATGAGTGAGATCTTGCTCCCAATGATTCTTTCTATCTTCACGAAGTTGCTCAGCGGCCGAGAAGGGAGAAGATGGTAATGAAGGTAGCGGGTTCGTGTGGTGGGAGGAGTCCTGCTGGATTCGTCCTTTAGAGCCAGTACTGACGAGGCTGACTGTGATCAGGTCCGAATTTAACTGTCTAAGGGCTTTGGAGGGTAGTTCATAGACTCCAGGATTGTGGGAGCGTAAGCCCCGACGTGGATTATCAAAAAAAATACTAACCACCTGCATTGATTTCAGAAAGAAAGTTATATGCTTTTTCAGTAAAAAAAATGATATTAAGTTGGTGTTATCATAGGACCTTATACATATAATTTTAATGACCCAACACTAAATGAAGTGCTACCAACGAGGTAAAATACACTGTGCGGCCGGATGTACGGTGCTCACCGTACAGTTGGGTTTTTTTGTAATTAAACCTCCGCATTCAACCCTGCAACTCGCGATTTAGTCCTGCAACTCACCAACGAAACGACGAAGGACGGCAGATCGAAAATCTGGTGCAACTCATGAACGCAGATCGCCGATAGCCAAGCTTCCAAGTGCAACTCACGAGTCACGACTGAGATTCTTAGCCGACGCAGAGACGGCTCTACCCCTGCGAGCGATTCCTATTCTTCACACTTTATTTTTCCGTCTCTGCTAATTACTGGTCTGCTACATGGGTTGCCACAATTTTTTATACAAAATGAAGTTATGAGCATAGTAGACATTTCGAATGAGTTTTATGATTGCTCATTTTGTAATTTATGTATACTCATTTGATATTTGCTTAATACTCATTTTAAATGAAATGAGTTTTATGTTAAACTCAAATGAGTATAACGCCCAAAAAGAATGAGCACACACAAATGAACCTTTTAGTTATTTGATACTAACTTGTAAGTTATGTATGCTCATTTTAAAATGTTGAACATTTCAAATGTATCGTACTAAACGAAAAAATAATAAACCAAAAGTGATATACTTCCTCCGATTCCTAAACAAGTTCCACATTTGACTTCACACATATTAAGAAAATAAAATTGACTTTACTGTGGAGTGCACTGTTTGACACTGTTTGGCACTGTTTAACACTGTTTTGATGTAGATAATAAGGAAATGTTTGAAAGTGGAACTTAATTTGCAATCTGCCCGAAAAGGAAAGGTGGAACTTGTTTCAGAAACGGAGGGAGTATAAGGTTTGAAGCAGAGATCACTGATTCTCACTGTTAGGCTCCTAATACTCAAAAGAACAGGATTGATGCTCATCAAAGTTGCATAAATGCTCATTTAGGAGAATCCGCGATTTTCACAAAAATTACAATTTTGTCACCGGCTGTACAGTGATCACTGTACAGCCGGCTGTACAGTATACGCGTTCACCAACGGGGGATCAAAACATTCCATTACAAGTACACATACTTGTTGAGAAAAATAATAACGCTAAATTTATTGTTATATGAATATGTTTATGCTAATTAGCTCATCGTAGATGGAAATAATAAGAGATGGGGTCAGGCTTGTCAATGGGTCGAGTCTAGACCCGGACCCGACCCGGACCTGATTATTTTTAATGAGTACGGATCTATAATTTATTCGTTTACCCGGACCCGGATCCGGACCCGTTAGTATTTTAAATAAACGGGTCGAGTATGGTACATATGATTCCGACCCGTTAAGGACCCGAACCCGTTTAAAATTTCTTATTTGTATACAGATACACTCAAACATAAAGTGATTAGTTATAACACTAAAAATAAAATAGAAACTAATATACATATATATATACACATACATAATAATACATAAAGTTATTAGTTGTGAATTTGTGATTATTCAATAAAAATATACACATTAATACATAAATAATATATAACTGATATTGATCAAGATAGTAAGATACCCTAAAACTAATATTTATTACTATTATTATTAATATTATTATATCATTATCATATACTCCATATGAGTATAATACTACATATGATTTTATACTCTTAGTAGTCTAAGAGACCTTTTTATGACTTAATTTTAAGTTTATTCTACGAGTTTTTTGTGCGAGAGAAAGCGGCGCAAAGTGCGGAGCTATATGCATGTACAAGAACCGATACTTTATTAGATAAAAGTACTAATTTTCTATGAGACCTTGATTTTTTTGAAAAGTGAAGATATATTTTGCTTTTAAATTTGTACACTTTGTTGTATATTTCACATACGTGTCTTGATATTTTCACAAAGTTTATAATGATGTGCATATCATACTTGGCGGGTGGGTCTACCCGACCCGATTCCGAGACCCATTGGGTCTGGGTCCAGGTCCAAATTTTCAGACCCGACGGTAAACGGGTCGGGTCCGGGTCCGGGTCCATTATTAACTTAGCGGGTCTGGGTCTGGAACACTACGTTCCGACCCGGACCCGACCCATTAACAGGCCTAATGGGGTGTGCTTTACTTCTTTTTATTTGATTCCAAAAAAGATTTAGTATTCTACTTGAAAAGGTAGTGGTTCATAGATAGAAATTTAAGATAAGAATAGGCAAAAGAGTTGGTTAAGTTAATAGCAGTCCATTGTATCCACTTGTAAATCATTAGTTTTATTACTTTATACTTTTATTGCCTGATCATTCAAACAGGGTTCTTGTTAAACTGTAAAGGGCAGCTAAGTACTAAGTAGACAATTCCAAACAGAAAGGCATTCAGCTTGAGGAAAGGAAGGGGTAAAGAAGGGGTAAAGAAATACAGTAACATATGGAAGGATGGCATGAACTAGGGGTGGGCACGGGACAGAACGGGACGGAAATTAGACTATCCCGGTCCCGAACCCGATTTAGGATAACGGGACAGAACGGGACGGGACAAGATGTTGTCCCGCTATTGTCCCTTTTAAATCGGTACCGGAACAGAACGGGACGGTTCGGGACATCCCCAAAAATTGCAGCGAAGAAAATACAGCTTCAAAAAGAAACTTCATGACAAAAACTACAACACTAAAAATACAACACATACAAAAAGTTACGATAAATGCAACACAAAATATAGTAGATTAATAGGATAGTTGCATGAAACAAACCGTAATAACAACAATAACTCCAACACACACACAATACTACTAAGAAACTACAAAAATAAATAAAAAGACAAACTATATTATTAGAAGTGAAACATGTGAAGTATACGTGAGTTTCTTTTTAGTATGTAGAAGATAGTTCATACTTGATATAATTTAGACTCCTTTACGTGTTTTATATATTAGATAACTAATACCTAATTACTATTAATTAGTATTTGAATTGATGGTAGACTCACTAACCCACAACTATATACAATTTTGAATTCGGAATAACGCGACGGAACGGGACATATTTTTTTTTGTGCTGATCCCGTTTTGTTTTGAAACGGTTCGGGACCGGAACGGGACAAAAATAGTTTGTCCCGAATTTAACGGGACAATTTCAGAACGGAACCGGAACGTTCCGGAACGGACCAACGGGACCGGGTCTTTTGCCCACCCCTAGATGAACAATAAGAATAAGTTATTCTTTGGGATGATAGTACATCAAATAAGACACACAATAGAACCTTAGCAGGAGGATACCCAGGAACAAGGATGAACTGCTAGTGGTCAAGGGTGTGGGCATTTAAGTTTCAGAAAGTTGATTTTGTTTTATATAACTGCAAAGTGTCACGAAACACATTACTGAGCATGTCTGGGGAAATATCATCCACTGCTAAAGTTAACAAATATGGAGACCGAATATTGGAAACCATAGAGGCGACCATCAGGGCCTACTCCAGCAGTGGTAGTAGCAATGAGAGTCCAGATTCGGGCAAGGAGAAAGGTGACAACTTTGTAGAAAGCACGGCGTGTTCCAAGAAACGGGTTTCAAACAAGCAATGCAAACAAAAAAAGGGAAAGCAGATTGATTATGAGGAACTGGGATACTATGATGACTGCATCCATAACGATTTTGATATTTGGCTATGCTTAACCTAACAACCCTTAACCAAAAGAAGTGTTGGGGTCCCTCTTGAGCATTTTATCAAACACAATGGATTCATAAGTCATAACAAACTCAAAATCTGACTTGCTCCAAAGCAAGTTATGTTACATAAAAGAAATTGATGTAAAACTTTAAAAGATAGTTTGCACTTTGCAGTTTTATAGATTCAGCAGCTATAATACCATGTCACTAACTATACTTCCCGAAAGTAGGGGGTATTTACCTTTATTTTCCTTTAAAGGTTACCATTAACGTGTTGCATATATCCTCCAGTGCAAAGGAGACTTGGAAGCGCAGAAGTTTTGTGCGCAGCTTTGGAAAAACTGTGCTTAAGTGCAAAGGAGATTCCAAAGCTGCGCACAAACCCATTTATATTTGCTGAACGCAGGAGGTCTGGAGTATGAAGCCCGTACAGCATCCATAACTGATGTAATGAATGATAAGGAATTGAATAACATAATAATATGGGATATTAATGAGGAAGGAGATGAGTATAGCTGAGAAAAAACTGGAGAAACAGCAGGGCAACAAACCTGGACAATCTGCGAGCTGCGATGGAGCCAGAGGGTTTTGGTCAGGTTGCGGATGAGAGCTGCGAGGCGCGATAAGAGGGTTACGGGCAGTCGCAATTTGAGGGAACTGAAGGTGTGCGATCCAGGGGCAGATGCAACAGAGCTAATAACGGGAGCTAAACGGCAAATTTAATCCCTTTTAAAAGTACACAAAGTAAAACACAATGTACCATTCAATAAAGCAAATGATTACACCAACACAATTTTCAGTCCTAAAATGCCCTAACCCTCATTGAGGATTATAAGATTTTAAGATTGTACTTTCACCGTGCATTGCACGGGTATAATACTAGTACTATGGAGTACAAGCAAAAATTAGAAACTCACCACTCTTAACTCTTGAGTTAGGGAAACTAATATAATATGCACATCATTCCAATTCGAATAATGATAAAACTTGGCAAAGATTAGAAAACAAACGTCTAGAATCCTTCTCGCAACATCAATTCATCAACAATCAGTAATAATCACCACAGAACAAAAACACTGATAACTTGAATCATATAAAGACGGGGGATCCACTGATTAGAGAGGTTTGACTTTGTAGCCGGGGCGAGGTATATTCAAGTCTGCATGGATTCAGCATGGTAGCTGTCAAGCTCCTTGTCAAGTTCATCGGCTGACTTCTCAACACCACCCTTCTTCCTTGCTCCTCCACGTCCACGACCACCCCCAGCAGCTCTGCCACGACCAGCAGCAGCTCGGCCACGACCACCACGTCCACCTCGGCCTCTTTGCCTGAGGAGCATTGAAAGAATACCACAGCTCAATATTTATTTGTTGATTCTGTTTTTGGGCATTTTAGCAATGCATTGAAAACATAAAAATTATGCAAACAGTTCGGAAGAGGAGCACCAGCCCCATCTTGTACATAAAAATAATTTGTTCTGAAGAAACTACTTACCCAGAACCCCAGTTAGTAGCAAGAGGAGCACCAGTTCTTCTAGGCCTTACAGATCCTTGACCCCTACTGCAAATGTCAATTTGTTATTTAAGTACGATATAAAGGAATGCTGTTAATCAGTTGGAAAAGTTTGTTCTTTTGCCAGACATCTTAAATGATCCAAAAGGCTTCAACATGAAGCTAAACTCTTGCAAAAGACAAAATACTGCGCAAGGAAGATGACTGACTTACTTCATGACAACTGTCCTCTTCCCATTCTTCGTTCCAACAACATTCACAAGAGGTAACAAGGGAACTTGCGGGTTGGTTGGAACAACTTCAATCTTCATAGGCTTTCCATCCAATTGTACATTGTTGTATTTTTTTAATGCTTGGATTGCATCAGTTCTTCTCACAAAAACAACCTCAGCAGAACCCTGTATAAATACCAAAAATTAAAGTTAGGAATCAAATCAACATTATTTGAACAGATGTAAAGCTTGAAAAAACAATAAAAATGTTCAAACAAAACAAGGACACTTGACTAAGTACATAGAAGTCCTCTCTATAATTACATTAGATGTCTCAGCACATTTTATTACACTGCATATATATACATGAATCTGGAATCATTCAGTACAAACTACATTATAAATCAACATCGCTGATATTTGCAAGGAAAGGCCATCTCAAGATACTATAACAAGTTACTAGTCCCATGGAAATTAAAGATACACATAACACTGAGAAATACGAGATAATAAACTTACACTTTGACGGCCATTCTTGTCATAGTGGATGGCATACCTTACCAATTCTCCGATCTCCGAGAAGAGTTCCTGCGTTCAAATGTTTCACTATCATCAATCTAACAGCATGAATAACTAGCTGGAATGGGGGCATGGGGATGTCCAAAACAACAGGGTATACCCTTATATCTTCATTGGTCACATTGTGGTGCAAGTTGGAAACATACAACTTTGTACCACTTTCAAATCCAGATGATACTCCAGCTGCTCTAAGGCTATCTTCAAACAAACCGTTCTGCCAAGGCAAATTTTTCACCCTGCGGAAAGACTGAAGCAAGCAAACCCAATATGACATCCACAGTGGATGAGTAGAATCAGCATACTACGTCTAGTGACAGATATACACCATTCTTCTAGAACGGAGCAGATATCATCAAATGGCCAACACGGTAGATGTGGTTAATAATCAATATAGTAATTTTTAGCAAAGATAATTCAACTATGGTTAAACAAGTGTAGATGGGAGTTGAAGATTTTCACCCACTGCAAAGTATCGCATCAATTGGTGCTTATGCAAATAAAAGAACACTTCCAGTTCTGATGTTCAGCGAAGGAAAGCCACCTTTGCGAAACGCCATGAACTGGGATACTAACTGAATACTGCGACCCCCAAGAAATTTGTCAGCTAGCAACAGCATCCATCATACACTTGCTAATGAGGTTTACAGATCACTTAGAAAGTCAGCCCTCTAGATGTTAAGTATGTTTAATTGTTGAAAGTAGTTAAATTTTCAAATAATGAAGCTCCTCAATGTTAAGGTACACTATAAACAAGTGAGTGATAGTCCCCAATGAAGCTCCTCAATGTTAAGGTACACCATAAACAAGCTCCAACTTTTATCAAAACTTTGGGACTAAATTCCATATGACAAACCAAACATGAAGGGGAGTCTCGAAAAGCGTGGAACAATTTGCACAACAGCTTATTATCCAAACAGTTGATGATCCAAATTGGGCACCTCCTTTGACCCAATATTGTCACAGAACTTCTCATGGTGGAATTTCTAATGCAAACTAGAGACAACGATTTAAGGAATTCATAAGACATCCAGTAGATTCAAGCTTGCCTTGGCAATGGTGTGGGCTGATGGTCTGGCATTAACACCAAGAGCACCTCGACCAGGAGGAACTCCAGCACGTCTTCCACCTCTAAATGATCCACTGGCCCCTCTTCCACGTTGTGGTCTGCCTCGTCCCCGACTTTTCTGACTTCTCTCACTATTACGTCTGCTCTTTATCATATCATCAAGTGTCATATCCAAAGAAGCCATCAGGCAGGTTGATTGAGGCTAAAACTGTATTGGCTCAAACAACAATTCTGTGAACAATGAAAACAGCGCAGGATGAAAACTTCGCGGATATGAAAAAAACTTCACAAGGACAGCTGCATATATTATTGATTCTCGGTTGAGATGTACAATACAGGTCATTGGAATTTAGCACAAAAGATTGAATATTACAGACATTCATGCTATCAAAAAAGAACTTGAGATCTACAAATACACACACACAGTACGAGGGCTTATTTGGGAAGGTGGTTGACCGTGGATGCTTCGATCACATGCAGATGGGGTTGTACAAGCCAGGAACTTTCCGGTCATCGGTGTCGTTATGGAGAGTGACCGAAGGTGCAGAGTCATTCTCACCATTTAACCCGTTGATTTATTAATTTATGTCTATTAAGGATTTGATTATAGGATGGTCCAATTATGTAATTATTTTTATTTTTTGTATGATGTTAAATACGTACTCCCTCTGGTCCTAAATAAACTTCATAGTTTGACTCTACGGTTTTTAAGAAAGTGGAACTTTTGCTTTTGACTTTCCCATCACACCCTTGCAAAAAGTGGATTATGTGTAGTGAGAGAGATAAAGTGGGTGTAAAGTAGGTAATAAAGTAAGGGTATAAGGGTAACTTTATATTAAAAAGTTACCAAAAATAGAAGTGTGGAGTTTATTTTGGACCTACCCAAAAAGGAAAGTGTGAAGTTTATTCAGGACCGGAGGGAGTGGTAAGGAGTATATGTCACTCCACCGCCATATCAGGTTTTTTTTGTGTCACGTGCAGAGATGAGATAACAAGCAAGAGGCAAGCATTTCAATCACCCATTTGAGAATGCCAAAGCCCAAAGATAAGAAGGGGAGAGCATATTTGATTTTGTGATTTCAGTTTATAATTTGTAAGTGTTGGTTGCTTAGCTTGATTGAAAATTTTGAAATTTACAGATTACCATTTCACTACTTTATGAATCAAGACATATCTGGTTTTATGCCTAGGGTAGTTACAAACGTAGTTTGAATAATTAAAACATACTTTGTGGATTAAAAATTAAGATATGATGTGTGTTTCAATATATAGAACTTTGGAGCTGAAAAAAGAAAAAAAAATGATTATATATGTAACTCAAAATGAGTATTTAATTTATGAAATGTATATTATGTGACACTCTACTTAGAGCAGGAGCATAAAACTGCAAAGAGTAGTTCTTCTATTGAGAAGAACTATGAGTTGACTGGTCATCACAATTATGGGAGAAAGATTCTGTTTCCTAGAAGTCCTTTCCATCCATCTATGTGTAGGATAAAAGCTCTAAGTATTCATGAGGCCACATATTGAAATACAGCTCGATCATGAAGTGTGGTGTAGACATCAGGTGTCCACAAGAAGTGCTTCTAAGGTGCTTCCACTACGGAAGTATTATATTACTTCTATTTAAAAGAGTATGCCACAACTTTTTGCCTCTTCTACCTTAGACATGTCACTACTAACAACTTAACAAGTGCTTGTATTTTGTAGTTGGTGAGCGTTTGATTTTGATTTATTTTTTCTGTTTTCGATTTCTTATTATATGGCTCTTTAATCATTAGCCGAACTTATGTTAACAGCATATTGCTAGGGAAATCTCGCCATACTCAGATTTTGAGATCTGATGGCTCCCAAAATGCCAACAATGCAGCAAATCGAGTTAAAAATGCAGTGACATTTTCATAAATAGGTAAACGCTTTTGCCATTGTGAAAAAGTGCAATACTTGACCCTGGAAAGTGCAATGCAGTGATGTAAAAGTGAAAATTTCACACTTTTCACGTTAAACACCCTTTTTATTAGAAGTTAGAACCGCACTATATATATATATATATATATATATATATATATATATATATATATATTCCTTTTCCATCATTTGCAATGGAGCCAAAGATTCATTATTTTTTGGCTTGAGATTATGATGGAATAAAGCAAAATGGCTCACTAAACTGTCTGCGCTTCTTTGTAATGAAGCAGCAGTCAGTCCATGCAATTTTGGACGCGATTTTCACTATGGGTCATCTGGAAAAAGCCTCTATGTGATTTAGTATAGGGGTAAGACTGCGTACATCCGACCCCCCCTTACCCCACCGTAGGTGGGAGCCTTTGCGGCACTGGGGTAAATGAAAATGAAAATGATATATATATATATATATATATATTCCTTTTCATTTTAGTTAGTCTATAGTCTATACAAGTCAATGGTCTAATATACCAAAAAAAAAATCCAAATGCAGAAATATCAAAAAAAAATAAGATTTTGGATTAGACATGGGCTTTCAACATTTGTAGAATTATGAACAAGAGCCAAATACAACCTTTATCACCAAATACAACATTTATCTAATTGTGAAAACCTTTTACCTCTCATTCACGTGTTCTCAAGATACTTAAAGAACTTTTTCATAATCTATAAAACATTCAGATCATAATATTCAGGTTCTAAAGTACTTTCAACATATTCATTTTTTATTTCTTATCACCCATATGATCAATATTGGGATTTTTTCAATTAGTTATTTTTACTATATATTTACAATTAATATTATTAAATTTAGACAAATATGTTTCAACAAACTACTCTTGCATATGGAAAATAATTCTTCCCGTGCATCGCACTGGTACTATACTAGTAGGGAAGGTAAGGCATTACAGTGCATGTGCCTCAGGGGCCCATTAACTTAATGTATACATCATCTCCTCAGATATTCTATCTATAATAATAGCACACTACATGTAATTTCCTTTAACAAAATCAACTTTTTGGCTTGTTTTTAACACTCGGATTTTTTCCAAATAAACAAATCTTTGTGTATATCTACTAGTGTTTTTTATACGAAGTATCAGTGTCCATAAGGGGAAGGAATTTACCAACGCACGAGAAGCAACCACCAATTAACAAATGCATTACTGACTGTGAAGAAAAAACGTAAACTTAGTCAAAAATAAACGAGTAGTTTAATTAAGACCAAGAGAATATTTGTTAATTGAGAAATTATTCTGTTTTAAAAAAGAAGCTGCGATCCACACATAGCACTTTAAATCCTAAATAAGTGTTTCTATATGTTCCAACAACACGGAAATATTTACCAGAAGATGTTTTACTCCGCCAAAACATGGAAAAATAGTTTCTAGCAGTATTAAATTAGATAGTCCTTTTCTTGATGTGCTCGCTTGGTAACATTATTTTTCATTTATTAATGGTGTCAGTATATTATTTGTCAAATATTAATTTCTTTCTGAACATTCAACTTTAATAGCAAAAAAGTTTAAACATTAATGGCCAAATCAATGATAAAGATATGTACATTTTTATACCTTAAAAGTGCGGAAAATGAGACAAAAAATATAAGGAAATTCAATTAAGCTATAATTAAAGATAGGACTCGTTTTGTGGTTGTGCATTAAAAACAATCACAAAAAAAATTCAAAATGCAAAACATGACTCATTATACCTCTATAGCTTGTTCCCCACTTTCTTAGACTATTCTAACTTCTAAGAACAACACAAATTATAACCCCATCAAGTCCATTTCCGGAGGATATGTACAATTGTTTAAACCTTTGGGACATCGTATGAGAGATTGACTAACAACTTAGCACACTTAATTTCTTCCCAAACATTCTTAAGCTCGTTTCACCTCCTGAATTAAAATTTAGTCTAACTAAATAATTAGTTCATATGTAGTTTTGTTTAATAAAAAATCAAACTAAATCGAGTTCAAAATGAATTTGAGATTGTAGTGTTACGGTTCACCATGTTAGTTTACAGTAAATTTATCTCAACCTTACCATCTAATTATTTACGACTTGTTTTTTCTGTTGAAGTAAAATTCTATTCAATATCAAGAACAGAATTACAATAGGAGGATCAAACTCTCACACTCAACTATTACAAAAAACCAAATATCACTAATAAACCTCTACTCTAAGTGTATTTCACTCTTCACACACTTTTCTCACTTTAGAAACTGATGCTAATGAACAACAATAGACTCCCTATTTATAGGTGTATATTGGAGACATGAGGAAGTTGCATCCAAGCTTCCATTCTCATTGCTAGGGAGGTTCCTAGCTATCTCCAAGCAACTTCCGTGAAGGGATGTGGAAGTACCTTAGGGTTCTTGAAGTCGAAGTACTACAGTTTTGTTAAGTTTGGGCGTTTGTCCAATTGGACCTAATAAACTTTAAATTAGGTTGATTTAGGGGCCCAAAACGTTTCATTTTTTGGCCAGTGGCCCCCACCCTTGCTACTCCTAGGGCTGCCTCAGGACCCGAGTTTTGTAATTCTATTTCTACTATGGGAATTGGATAATGAGTCGTGTTTGTAAAACTGTAAAAGATCAAGATTACTAAAAATTAGTCAAATTAAAGAAAGGACAAAACAGATATACTAATTAGAAGGGTGCAGTTGACTTGTGAAGGGTGAAGTTGACTGAAACGCGCCTCTGAGAGACAATGGCAGCTTGTTTGTCTGCTTCGTGAATATGAAAGAAGTGTGTTGAGAAAACAAGGGGTATTGCGCGGATGGGAAGAGGGGAGTAATTGGTGGTAAAAGGATGGGGAGTATGAGTGTTTCTTATTTCCTTTTCAGAGTTAAGAATGTGTAATAGCATATATTATATTTTTGACTGGATTTGGACCAAAATAAGGTTTCAGATTATTGAATTACTATCACAATCTAGGATGCACGGAAATGCCAAAAGGGTCTAGGTTTCCGCTTCCGAAACGTCCAAGGAACCACTAACGTCCGGAAATGGCCGGGAAACGTCGACCCGCGTCTCGGCCCATTTTTGGGTCGGGTCTAGATCCGGAAACGATCTAGGAAACGCCACAGGCCAAAATTAAAAAAAAAAAAACAGCGGCCCAACCTCGCGATACTGTTAATCGTCCGCAAGGGAGAAACGAGATCCAGTTCCGTACTTCCGTCTCGCCTCCAGCCAGGCAGCCAGCTTCGCCCTTCTCCCTTCACCGATTGCAGTTGGCCTTTTCTTTTTATTCGGAAGGGATTTGTGTTGGCTTCGTCGGGTTCAAAAGGGTTCAAAAGGGTAAGTTGCGTTGGAATTGTCGGCTGTAGTATTAACTATTAAACTGTGTGGCTGTGAATAAAGTATAAACTTTAGTGAATTCAGTTGCTTTTTTTTTACTTTTGTTTTGTTCAGTCAATGAGTCAATAAAAAAGTTTATTTAATTAAATAAATTTCTTAAAAAAGTATAAAGTTTAGTGAATAAAGTGAATTTTATTGTGCTTTTTTCAGTCCATTACTTTACCAATAAAATGTAATTGTCAAAAAAAATTATTTTCTCTTCATTTTTAGATAAACTCTATGGATGTATCTTGAAGAAACAGAATATCTAGAATTTGCTAATCTGTCATTAGATGAGCCTGAGCTGGAGATTGTGTTTATTACCGAATGAATTCTTAAGTTGTGTCCTTTTTATTAATCATTCATACAATGGATTACAAACAATGTTGATGTTTGGTTAATTTATTTCCTAATTAATGCATGTAAACTTGACCTATTTTAATAGTCATCTAGTTATATTACTAATACTTTAGTTTTTAGTGCGACGTTTCCTCGCCGTACCCGTACCCTTAATTTTTGAGATTAAGGTTTCCCCGTCCCCGTTTCCGTCCCCGTTTCCGTTTCAGTTTCCGTACCGGTGCTACTTAGATCACAATTTAGGACACGTTTACTTCAAGGGTTACTAAACGGCGCTTATTAAGACTCGCATTAATAAGTGGCGCCTAAAATAAGCAGTGTTAAGCTCATGTTTACTTCAAAGGATTTAAAACACCGTTTAACCTTTAAATGTCCAAATTAACCCTATACATATATAGACACACAAACATTCATGAACACAAGTATATAATATAATATGTGGGGGTCACCTCGTACGCGTACTCATACCCCTAACCCCTACCCCGTACATCACCCCTACCCTACACCCTACCCCCAATTCCACACCCTTGACTCATGGGGGTATGCTTAGTAAGCGACACTTTAAGCACCTCTTTGGATTAGTAAGCAGCTTGCGTGTTTACTTCACCCGTCTTACTAACTTAACTGTGACTTTAGAAGCGAAGTAAACACCTCCTTAATATTGTAAAAAATGGACCCAGGACCTTATTTTTGTAATTTAAAGCTTATATAAGAATTTATATACTGCTGGCCATAATAAAATAAAATAATCAGTTTGAAATAATATGAATTTCAAATGCATAATGCGGGAGCTATAACAAGGATAATTATAACTCTAGCTGAAAAGTATACTCCATATAAAAAAAGTCTCATTAGAGTAGGACTATAGGCTATCTAATCAAACCAGATCAGATTAGATTATATTCCATATAAGAACTATTAGGCTGTCTAATGAGACCTCTATTAGCCTAAATGTTTGAATCAGATCATACCAGATCAGATTATAATGGACCTGATCAGACTTGGTCAATAATAAATTCACATAGAGTCGATGTTTCACCATATCATATAAAAAACGGTCCTATTAAAAACATCTTTAATCAAATTTTAATAAAGAGGTCATATTTTAATCACACGTGTTATATTTTTTCCACAGTTAAATAAAACAACGGTTTTTTAAATATGATTTTTCTAGACCAATACTGTGAACATAATTGTTTGAATTAACAACATATGGACATATGGTACTCTTGATTATTTTAACAAACATAATAATATTAAGTTTCTATTTTGTTTTTAAAAAGCCTTTATTTTAAAATTATCAATTTCAAAGTAATTTATTGATTGGTACCACATATATTAATCACTGTTATGATTTGTGCGAGTGTCGTAACAGATGATCAGAGAGGACGAAAGTGCTTACATGTGATTTGTAAGGGCAAAAGGCTGAGCGACAAATGATGAATGCGATGTTGCTTGCAGGGGCGGATCTAGCTTTGGGGTTGAGGAGGGGCCTAAATTTATGTAAATAACACATACAACAACAACATCCAAGCCTTAATCCCAAAAGAATTTGGGGTCGCCTACGATCTATGATATCGATGCCAAATTTAAATAACACATATTGTAAAAAAATCTATTGTAGCAACAAAATCAAAGACAAAAATAAATACTATAGGAATAAGAGTTTTCATTAAAGTCAAATAAAAAACCACCACAATTTTACAACTGTTCTATTCATTACCTTATTCAAAATAAAGGGATTAGTAGTTATGACACTAATACTAATGAATTTAATAATTAGATTATTAATAACAAATCACAAGCAATTTCATACTACTATAAATGATGATTACAAGTTTACAAGTAACAACAGAATTCATACTAAACGATGCTGTAACTAGTCTTTACACAATAAAATTCATACTAAACAAGGCTGTAATTTAATTTTTAAATTGAAATAAATACTTAGATTAATAATAACAAATCACAAGCAAATTATGATGATTACAACTTTAAAGGTAATAATCACATTCATACTAAACAAGTAAACAGCTAAACAAGGCTGTAAATATGTAATTAGTCTTTTAACAATTAAACTCATATTAAATAAGGCTGTAATTTAGTGTTCATATTCAATAAAACCTTACCCGTTAGGACTTGGGCACTGGGCAGTTCCGCAGGGAAGAAACTAAACCGACGTGCGCCGCCGCCGTTACACGCCGACTGTCGCCCGACAGTCCGAGTGCTTAGCGCTGTCCGACGCTCCGAGTGCTGACGATTGAGGGTAGCGCTGTCCGTTACACGCCGTTAAATTGCTAGGTTGGGATTTAGGGGTTTTGCCGATGCAGTACTTTGCGAACCGCTACCTCTTCCAGTCTTCCCCTTGCTGTCTTGGAGTACGTTCATTTGGGATTTTAAGATTTTGGGCCATGTTTTAATTTTGGACTTGTTCGGACGAATGGAGCTACGGACTGTTAATCACACATATACTATTAAGGGGATTTTTCACAAATGGCTAAAAACTGAAAATAATATCAGTTTTTTCATTTTTTGAAAGTTTTTTCACCAATAGACAGGTTGAAACTTTCTTTTCAATAAGAGACCTGACGCAGTGAAGCCCAAAGGCCAAAACTGAACTCCACAGCTCTGCTCCCACAGTCCCACTTACTCCGTGACTCAAGTCACGCATCTTAATTACAATTACTAAAAAAATTGGACCCCACTCCCTAACTCGTATTCATGTCACGCACTTCAATTTTTTTATTCTAATTGAAAACTAACAATCAAAAGCAATAATAATAATAAGAAGAAAAGTTTTTATGAGTGTAAAGATGTTATAAATTTTTACAAAAATGGAATGTTAAACAGAATTGAAAATTGTAAAGTCTGAAATTAGAAAGACAATGAAAATTGGCAAAAAGGTAAAGAAGAATAAAAAAGAAAAAAATGTAGTACGTATTTTTTCGAATTTTGAACATGCAAACAACAAAAAAATGTTTTGGAAATAAAGAATGTACAAAAAAAGTTAAAACCAAAATAATCTAAAATCTTGAGTATTAATTAAATAACATAAAAATAATACAGAGTAAGAAAAAGTTCAAAATAAAAAATGTAAAAATGTGGATAAATACATCAAATGTAAAATAAGTTAAAAAACAAAGCTCAAACTATAATAAACTTTAAAGTTCTAAGAATTAAGAAAAATACTAAAAAGACTACAAAAGTTAAAATCCATATAAAAACATAATATCAAAAATCAAAATGTGAAAACATAATACTTGTTTCTTTTTGTTGATAATTATAAGAGATTTCATTTTTTATTGTTTATTTTTGTTTCTAGTTGTTTTTATATTCATAAATCTAAATTTATAATTTTAAATGTTTGCACAGAAATTGATATTAGTTTTTTTTTATTTCCAGAAAGTAGCCAAGATGAATAAATACCTAAATATTAAACTACAAACAAAATCGGCAATAAACAACAATAAGCTGCACACTACAACAAAAAGCAACACGATACAATAAAAAGAAACACAATGCAACAAAATGAAACAATTCTGATACAGCAAAAAGAAACACGATACAACAAAAAGAAACACAATGCTACAAAATGAAACAATTCTAATACAACAAAAAGAAACACAGTGCAACAAAATGAAACAATTTTTGATACAATAAAATGAAATAACAATCAGCGTAAAAATGTATCACAACTGATATATAATTCAATCAATTAGTTTAATTTATTACATTTATATATTATATTATTTGCCTTTGCTTGATCACATTTCTTCTTCCTTGTATGCACCTTAATGCAGAATCCATCAGAATTGTCTATCATTTTCAGTGGTGCCAAAATAAGAATAAGCCAGCCTAAATACAAATGAAGCCATCTGCCACCCGGGATAGAGTGAACTCTTGAAATTGATGATTTGTTCAGGACACTGAAAGAAGAAGAGCTAGCAGACTCTCTACTCTACTCTATTTCTCCTTTTCTGTAGAAGAGGAGATTCATTCATTTCCTTAGCTACTTGAGTACATAAACCTTTTTCTTTATGAAGTAAACAAAAAAATGGCAATTCAAGCTTCAGGAGCCATTATCCATGTGCAAGTTGATCTTCTTCACCTACTAGTGCAGAGATTCCAATTCAAAATTTTGAATTACAGTCACTTAATAGCCAACCTTACATGATATACAACAATAAGTTAAGCCAAGTTTCTATTCCCACCCAATAAGGAGCTTTGCATTTGCAGCAGTAGCTTCCAATGTCTTTTTTTGTGACGGCATAATAAGATACCAAATTCTAAACACCGGGCTTGTTTCATTTTAATAACTTTAGGGGAGTTTAGGAGAGAAATGCTAAGCAAGTCCTTCCCACATTCCACACAATGTATGTCAATCACCAAATTGCAAGAAAACAAAGACACACTACGCAGCAACAGAAATTTTAAGTTATGGTAGAAATTACTGAGATACACCCACTCACTTTGAGAAGTTGTCGATCTCTGTGTAATCACTATCACAAATCATACCCTCGGGCTTTGTCCCTCCCCTTCCGTTGGACTTTCCGTGGCTGTTTGAACTGGCCTCGGCTCTCTTCCTGATGATATAGAGTCTTTCAATGATCTATAGAGAAAAGAGCAAAGAGATTCCAAACATGTGGGGAGATTTATATATGAAATGATTAGAATCAGAATGATTCCAGTGCTTGTAATGCAAAAACGGCTCCCATTGAAAGTACATAACAGAAATGTGCAACCACATAATAAGTATCATGTAGAGCAATGTCTAGCCCAGAATTTGCCAGAACTATTCCAGTGAGTCCTCCTATGGGTTCCCCTTTTTGTCGGTGAGGTTGGATGTAAATATGTAATTCAGGTTTTCCAATATCTAAATCCAGCAAAAATAAGAAAATCAACCCATGCCTATTGCTTATTCACTAGATACAAGGAATCAATTAATGAACACAAAGGCTAAACTTCAGCATAATGGACGAGGAACATATATTTTTTGAACAAAGGAGGATGAAGAACATAAATTATCCACCTTATATATATTGTTCGGTAATATGCTTGGTGACATTAGAATACATTTTTCCCCGATTTGAGTGAATTGATGTGATTCAATAACAACACACGATAGGACGATGGCTAAGGAGGATCTAAAATGGATTTCATCACCTTCGATCCAGTAAAGCTATCTGAGGCACATCTCAACCAATTGGAACTAAATCCGCAAAGGATGGAGGACGGAGCGCGGAGCTGCAAGAGACGAAGGGCGGAGAGCGGAGCCGCACATGACGAAGGCCAAACGGCGGAGGGCGGAGCCGCAGAAGCTGGAGGCGTAGCCAGTGCTGGGAAGGAGTGGAATAATCGCACATGCTTCTGCTCAACGATGTCTGGTTTGTGTTTTGGATTAATGTTTTGACTATTTTTGAAATAAAGAAACTAAATTGAAAAGTTGAAAGTTAAACATGAAAAATAATACGTAGATGGACATAAATGAAATACTAAGCACAACATTGGACTCTTAGGGTAATTTGCACTACTATTAATTAATCACACATGTTATATTTTTCCCACGGTTAAATAAAACAACGGTTTTTTAAATACTCCCTCCGATCCCAAATGAAATTCATACTTTCCTTTTTGGGTAGGTCCAAAATAAACTTCACACTTCTTCTCCCTTCCTTATTTGGCAAATTATCTACATCAAAACAGTGCAAAACAGTGCCAAAAAGGGTCAAACAGTATCACAACAGTGTACTCTACAGTAAAGTCAAATTCATTTCCTTAATTTGTGTGAAGTCAAAGTTTGAATTTCATTTGGGACCGGAGGGAGTATGTTTTTTCTAGAACTTTATGATGTTAATAGTTTAATAGAACTTTCAAGATTTTAGGGTTTCCGTGGGGGATTGTCCGGTGGTGACCTTCCTGTTCGCGGCACCGATTGCTGATAATTGTGTCTACCGTAGCAGTATCGAGCACGGTCGATCGTCGGTTACTCTCTGGTTAGATCCTTCGTCTTAAAGTCCCGCTTTGTTGGCAGTCTTGGAGGTGGGAGCGAGTTTCGGAATTTCGATTAAGCTTTTTCCGACCTCCATGAGTATCATAACTTGGAATTGCGGAGGTTTGGAAACCCCAACATCAGTCCAGTGTCTCACTGATCTCGTTCAATAACACCGCCCGTCTGTAATATTCTTGATGGAGACAAAGCTTCGATGCCAACGCGCAAGGGAGATATTGTGATCGTTGGGTTATGCTAATGTTGAGGGTACGGATGCCGAAGGTCAAGGAGGCGGTTTAGCTTTGGGGTGGAATGAAGATCTGAATGTGACAATAACGAATGTAAACCCCAATTATGTTGACTGCCAGATTTGTGAATCGGAGGGAGGATTAACGTGGCAGTTTACGGGTTTCTACGCTTTTCTAGGAGACGATAAGGAGAAGGGCGGCATGGGACATGTTAAAGGCTCTTGCAGAAAACAATAATCTTGTGGAAAAAGGACGTGTGCAGCACCCTCCCTGGCGGCTGAGAGGATTCTGAGAGGCAGTTACTTCAAGCGGCTTAAGGGATTTCCCGTTCGATGGATATCAGTGGACTTGGGAGAGGGGAAAGGGAACGCTGAACTGGGTGGAGGAAAAACTAGACCGTAGTCTTGTTAATGATGTTTGGTGGGATAATTTTATGGAGGCTAGAGCGGCATCGATGGAAGCCCCTATCAGCGACCATATGGCGTTACTCATTAAAATAAATCCTACATTCTATGCAGGTTTAAGAAGAAGTTCTGGTTTGAGAATAGCTGGTTAAGAGAGGAGGAATGCAGAACACTTGTGGCTAATAGTTGGCGAGCGGGGGAAGTCTTAACTGTTAGTGAGCGAATAGCTTTTTGTGGTAAAGAATTACTCAAATGGGATGGTAGTCGGGTGAAGGGGTTTTGACATCACATTTTGGCATGCAAAAGGCGCCTGGCGTGGCTAAGGGGTAGAGATGATAATGCGAGTACGGCCGAGTTCATTCGGATTCGGGTGGTGCTCAAAGAGCTTATGGAAAAAGAAAATATTTATTAGAGACAACGGGCCAAAGAATTTTGGTTGAAGGAAGGGGATGTGAACTCGAGATTTTTCCATAATGTTGTTAAAGCTAGAAGGAGGAAGAATAAGATGGTGGGCTTGAAACGAGAGAATGGGGACTGGGTGACTGACCGAGGGGCTATGGGGGATATGATCCGGGATTACTTCTCAGATATATTTACAGAACAAAGGAGGGACTGCGAGATTGGTTCTCTCGGTTCGTTAAAGCAGTTGGGGCCGAATCATAATTGAAGGTTATTAAGGGAGATCTCGGTCGATGAAGTTAAAACTGCAGTTTTTGACATGCATCCGGAAAAGGCGCCGGGAATTGACGGTATGAACCCGGCGTTTTTTCAGAAGTACTGGGACATCGTGGGACTGA